GGCAGCCTCTCTGGCTTCCAGATGAGCTGAGGCCCAGGTGGCCAAACCAGCGGTGCTGTGAGGCCTACGCCGGCGCAGCAGGGCCAGGCTCCGTCCTCCACCTGGAAGGGCTGCGGTCTGGCTCTGCTGCGGATGACAGGCTGGCCTCGGGTGTGCCCAGAAACGCAGCAGCCCAGGAGCACCCGAGAAGAGAAAGGAGTCCATTTGCACCCAGCCAAAGAGAGGAAGAAACAAAGCAAAATTCGAAAAGTGCAAAGAAGGCCAGGCTCCCCCCAGCTTGCTGAGGGTGGAACATTTTTGTGGGCATTTTCTGGTCTTATTCCCAGATGTGAACCAGCGCCTGGCTGGCTGTGGTCCTCCGAGGAGGCCACCTCCACTGTCCCCAGGCAGGGGGGCCACCCGCACTTCTGAGGGTGGTGGGGACGGGGCTGTGGAGGGTGCGTAGCCAGGGGCCTGGCTCTGTGTTCCTCTAAGGAAAGCTCCGGGACAGGACAAGCTCTGTGGAGCCCGAGCCACGGCCCCCAGGGCAGTGGGTGATGATCTCACCAGGTTTTCCACTGTGACTTCCATGACTGCTTCCGGACAGAGCTGGAGCAGCTGAGCTTGAGAGAGTCAGGGTCACTGGCAGGGCTGGGTGACACTGTGCCAGGCTTGGGGTTTGCCAAGAATATCCCCACTTGATTCTTACAACAAGCACGCATGGAAGGCAGTGCTCTGTTCACTGCTTTGAAGATGAGAAAAATGAAGCAGAGAGAGGCTAAGTAATTCAGCCCAGGCCACACAGTGAATCGGAGACAAAGACAGGATTTGAGCCCAGATGTCTGCCTTCAGAGTGCTGGCTCTCAGTCACTCTGGAGTAATGTGGCTTGGAATGGCAGGCTGGGAGTGGATCTTGTGGAAATTGTGCTGGGTGCGGGGGTGCACACCTGCAGCCCAGCACTCTGGAGACTGCATCTCCGTGAGTTCGAGGCTAGCCTGGGCTGCACAGCAAGAGCCCAGCTCAGAAAGAGAAAAAAGTGCGTTATTTCCGAATGGTGGTGGGTTAACAAGGTGCAGGCTGGTGGTAGAGAGGACCTGGTCAGCGGTGGCTCCAGCAGGCAGGTGCTGTTCCCAGAGCCTCAGGCTCTGGGGTCTGGCCCTTGCACTGTGCCCCATCTCCTGGCAGAAGCACCTGGGCTGGACTTCAAGTCTTCTCAGGGACACGGTGGTGGCCATACTGTTTGGAGGGGGCACCTAGGCCAGGAGCCTCCCCACCCCAGGCTCAGAGCTCTGTCCCGATGGATAACAGGTCTCTTTGTGCATCCTGGGCCAGGCCTTCCACAGAGCCCTGACATTTTGATGTGGTGGCCAGAGGTGGGGTGCACAGGGGTCCCCTGCACCGCTGCAGGCACAGCTCATTGCTTTGTGCTGCTACATGGACGCAGTGTGTCTGAAAATGTGTGTGCTTGGAGTTTTGAAACAATTGTTACAGTACAAGTCACTGCCCTGAGCCCCTCAGAAGTGTGCCCCTCCCTTCAACGCTCTTTTCCCATCATCCTTGCCACTTTCTACAGCGGTTCTGGAGTCCTCTTTCCTGAGCATCTTTGGTTGTGCTGTCTTTGCTGCCTCGGTGTCCCAAATCGATTTAAAACACATTTGCGGCCTCTGTGAGCTGCCCTCTTCTGGGTGGCTCTCCGCACAGCGGTCACTGGATTTTCGATCAGACCTCATAAAGATCCTGAGGAAAGAGGACTCCAGGACAGCTTCAGAAGAGGGTGAAGATGAGGGGAGGATTTTCAGGGGATTCATGGCATGTGCCTTTTACTGTAATAAACTTCTAAAAATGTACAGATTCATCACATTCAATCTCGTGGCCAGTCCACCAAAGCTGAGTTCTGTAGCTGCTGGCCCAGAGATGCCCTAGCCTGGGCTCACCCTTCCTTGGAGTGTCCAGCAGAAGGAAGGACTGCCTCCCTGCCTGGAGGGCTGTGGCAGGGCCTGGCGGCCCCTGCTGCAGTGGATGTGAGCAGGCGCCCGAGGGAGGTATGCATTCTCCTAAGGGAGAAATGGCTCCTTCTTTATTGGTTCTCACAGAGCATTCCTGGAAAAGTTGAACCTCGTTGCTGGGCATCTGAAGGGGCGGGCACTTGGGATCAGAGTTACTTGCTTGCTCTCTCCCCCCCACCCCTTTCTTTCTTGGATATAGGGTTGTGCTACACAGCTCAAACTCATTCAGATGCTCTTTTCTCAGCCTCTCCAGTTCTGGGATTACAGGCATTTCAGGGGCCAGCACAGCATGTGGTACCAGAGATCAAACCCGGGTCCATGCACTTGCCAGGCAGGTGCTTAGACCGCTGAGCTATCTCCCCAGCCCAAGGAGTCCTAGGTTTTACCAGGATCTGGGGGACAGATTATCAAAGCATGGTCCCAGGAGGAAGGAGGCTGCCAGCAGGGGGCAGCAGAGGGACAACTCCCAGGTGAGGTCCAGTGTGAATCCACCTCACCCAGTGAAAGAGCTAATTCTGAGAAAAATTGGGATTATGCTGCAGGTGCCCTCTCTTCCTCCCTTTTTAATTTTTGACAAAGCCAAATATTTTGTTCTATGACTGCTCAAATAGCCTTTCCTTTGATGGTGGTGGCCACAGCCTTGGAGGTTATAGTTAGCCTACCGATGGCTCATGCCCTATCAGACCCAGGCTGAAGCCTCACCAGCACCTGCTCCTTGCACCCTCGGCCTTGCCTAATGGAGTAGGTGCTGGTGTTGTCCCTGTGTCACACACAAGGAAATTGTGGAATTGGTGAGCTCAGTAATGTGCCTGAGGTCTTGTGGCTGGAAGATGTGGACTTGGGATTTGAACTCTTGGAACTGCGTCGATGAGCACAGTCATGAGGACGCCAGGAGCCCCCTGTTGAGAGCTGACCCTTTAGGGTGGCATCTCCAATCATTTCATGGGGCAACATGCTGACCGCAGCTATCTGGGAGGCCGAGGCAGGAAGATTGCAAGTTCAAGCCCAACCTGGACAGTGTAGTGACTTTGGGAGACCCTGCCTCAAAATAGCTCAGCCCAAAGGCCCTGAGTTTGATATCCAGTACTCCACCCCCACCAAATAACAAGACCACTGAGGGATAAGCAAATAGCATTCATAAATGTCATTGTCCGTTTGTGGCCTGTGGAGAAACAGTAGCTGTGTTTTAAGATCAGTATTTAATGCACTAAAATCTTTTTTTTTTTTTTTAATGCACTAAAATCTTGATGTCCCTGGTCTGTGGCATCCCCATGAGTCTGGGGCAGCTCTGCTTGAACAACACTGGAAAAGACCCGAATCCACTGTGTTGGGGAAGAGGATGGCACAGTGATGGTGCCGAACCCTGGCACCACGCTGCGTGACCCCCGCAGATGGCGCAGAGTGGGGGCAGGCCCCGAGTGTTCCAGCTGGGAAACTCAGGAGGAGTCAGACAGTCGTTTCCAGCCCCGGGGTGATCTGCCCGTCGTTCTCACCCCATCCTGACTATTCACACAGCAGGGTCTCCCTAACACTGGCCTCCTCTGTCTTTCTGTTTTCTGTTTCCTGCTCCACTCTGGGAAGAACATGGGAGGCTCCAGAGACCTAGTTCTGAGTCCTGCTATGGCCTCTAGCTTATAGGATGTCTGTCCTCAAGTATCTTGCAAGGCCCTATAAGGTGGCATGGAAACACCTGCTAAAATATACCTGGTGTTATGGTTTGTGCCTGGATGTCCTCAAAAAGCCTTATCCCATCATTGGGGCAGGCTTTTTGGAAGAGGCTGAATCTAGTTTGTCACTGATCCATGGTCCAATGCTGGGATTAAGGGTGTGCATGCTACACCTGCCCTAGGGCAGGTAGCCTGCGTACACTATAAGGGACAGAAAGCGGCTTGCTCTTTCTTGTCTCTTACTGCTTTTGCTATCCTCCAATGCCATGAAGGATTGTCCCTCTGCCATGTGCCACCCTACTTGGGAGCCAGTGGATTATGGACTAAAACCTTTGTAAACTGTGAGCTAAGTAAACCTTTCCCTCTTTAACTTTGAGTATTGAGCATTTTGACTCAGCAATAAGAGAAAAGAAACTAAGCACACGGAAAGCTGGACATGGTAGCATATGGTTGTAACCCCAGCACTCAGGGAGGCCGAGGCAGGAGTGCAAGTTTGAGTCTAGCTCCTGCGACTTTGTGCAACCCTGTCTCTAAATAAATAAGTAAATAAATGGGCTGGGGGGCCAGGGAGACAGTTCAGTGGCAAAAGCACCTGACTGGCATGTGCAAGGTCTTGAGTTCCATCCCTGGTGTAAATAAATAAATGAATAAGTTGAGGACATAGCTCAGTTCAAAGGACCTGGATTCGATTCACAGAAACAAAAAGCCTGGAACCAAGGGAGTGGCTCAGCGGTGTAGCACGTGTACAACACCTTGGTCTCCAGCCCTGACTGTGCCCCCCTGGCTGGGCTGAGCCCCACTACCACACTGACCCCATTTCTGCCTTTGGGATCTCAGTGTCCCACTGTACCCACTGGGCTGTGCTGCCGTGGTAAAGGCCCTCTCTGTTTTCTCTCCTCCGAGGACCCAGATGACGCCCGCTGGAGCCTGGCTGTGCTGGGCCTCCCTCCTGCTCCTGTCCAGGCCGTCCCAGTCCTGCCCCTTAGGCTGCGACTGCTTTGTGCACGAGGTGTTCTGCTCCGATGACAAGCTGGCTGTCATTCCACCAGACATCCCACCGGACACCACAGACCTCGTCTTTGTGGAGACTGCCTTCACCGAGGTGGCACCCTGGGCCTTTGGCGGCAGCCCCAACCTCACCAAGTTGGTTTTCCTCAACACTCAGCTCCGGAGTTTCAGACCTGATGCCTTTGTGGGGCTGAGCCAACTGAGGGACCTGGAGGTCACTGGCAGCACCTTCAACCTCAGTGGCAACACCTTTGCCAACCTGACCTCGCTGGGCCAGCTCACCCTGAGCTTTGACAAGCTGTACTCCCTGCCCAAGGACCTGTTCCTCGGCTTGGACACCCTGGAGTCCCTCCAGCTACAGGGCAACCAGCTGCGGACCCTGCCCTGGGGAATCTTCCGGTCCCTGCGGCGTCTGAAGTCCCTCAACCTGGGGCAGAACCACCTGGAGTGGCTCCCAGGCGGGCTACTGCACCCACTGTCTGGCCTGCGGTTCCTGAGGCTCAGTGACAACCAGCTGTCCCAGGGCCTTCCCCGGGGCATCTTTGCCACCCTGCGCAGCCTGGAGGAGCTGTTCCTGGACAGCAGTGCCCTCCGCGAGCTGCCCCCAGAGCTGTTCTCCGGGCTCTTCCGCCTGGAGCGGCTGTGGTTGCAGCACAATGCCATCAGCCACCTGCCGCCCACTGTCTTCTCTGACCTGGGCAGCCTGACCTCCCTGAGCTTGCAGGGCAATGCACTGCGGACACTGCCTGCCGACCTATTTACCCACACACCGCACCTGCTCAGCCTGTCACTGTCCCACAACCAGCTGGTGACGATTGCAGAGGGCGCCTTCACCAACCTGTCCAGCCTTGTGTCCCTCACGCTCTCGCACAACGCCATTGTGCAGCTCCCCGCTGGGGTCTTCCGGGACCTGCAGGGGCTGGTCAAGCTGTACCTGGGCAGCAACAACCTGACGGCCTTGCCGCCTGGCCTCTTCCACAACCTGTCCAGCCTTGAGCTGCTCAACCTGTCCCAGAACCAGCTGAGCACGCTGCCGGAGGGCCTCTTCAGCACCAACCACAACCTCTTCAACCTCGCCCTGCACGGCAACCCCTGGCAGTGTGACTGCCACCTGGCCTGGCTCTCCAGCTGGCTGCACGTCTGGAGCGACCCGCTGCTCCACATCAATGCCTACTGCGCGGGGCCTGCCTACCTGCGAGGCCAGCTGATGCCCTCCTTGAAGGAAGAGCAACTGGTGTGCCCTGCCTCCGGTCACCTGGGGCTGGACCACAGGGTGGTGGGGGGAGGCTGGGGCTCAGAGGCAGAGGACAAGGCCGCCTGGAGCAGATGCACCTACAGCAATGCCGAGGGCACCGTGGTGCTCTCCTGTGATGAGGCCCAGTGTCGCTGGCTTAGTGTCCAGCTGTCTCCCCGGCAGGGCGAGGGCTTCCTGGACATGAGGCCCAATGCCACTCAGGGGTGGGACCTGAGGTCCAGCTGTGGCTCTGTGAGGGTCACTGTGTCAATTGAGCCTCTGGCAGCAGGGCCCTAGGAGCTCAAAGAGCCAGAGGCCTGGGCAGGTAGGGGTCTGAGGGAGCTGAGTGCTGGAAGCTTTGGCTTTTGGGGTACAAGGGACGTGGTGACACCTCCAGCATTGGGGAGGTAGCAGCTGGTCCCCTCCCTTTTTCCCTTGCTGTTTTCCTCTTGGAATCTGAAATGATCAAGGCCTCCAAGCGCCTTGTGAATGCCCCGGAGAGCCGTGCCAGGGTCAGAGAGCACTTTCCCCAAAGTTCCTCTTATTTTGTCCCAGTCCACTGTCCCCCCACTTGGCATCCTAGCTGGGAGAGATGATCCCCACTATCCCAGTTGTGAAACCCAGAGGCCCCTCACCTTTGACCCCCAGTTCAGAAGCCAGATGTCTGTTCCAATTTCTTTATTTTAATGGATCAGAGGATAAACTGGGACCACAGAGGCAGCGGGGGCCAGGAGCTGGGCCGTGGCCTGGTGTCTTGTGGGGAGACAGACTTCACTGTGTCCACCTCCTTGGTGCACTCAGGAGAAAGGACAGCAAGCTGGTGTCTTGGGGGGGGGGTCTGCCCAACCAAGGGCCTTCATGACCTGAGGCCCCAGAGGGCAGTAGGGCTTTGCCAGCTGGGCACCGAGATGGCAGCTCCCTGAGAAGGACGAGGGCCAGATGACAGGACGATGGTGGCAGGGCAGCCCGCCCTGGCTCTGGCTTGCTCCTAGAGCCTGATTCTGTGGGCTCCTTTGCTAGACTTGCTCCCACTCGTTCGGGGCACTGCTCCTGACCCAGCCCTGTCTTCTTCACTGTCCCTCAGCCTCTGCCACTACCCGCACCCGACCTCCTCAGGGTCTCTGCTGTCCCATGTCATGCAGCCCAGAGCCAAAGGCCCCTGGACACTGGTGTCCCCAATCTCCTCCTGGGGCTCAGCCTGGCAGCCCCACATTCCAGGTCAGCCACTGGTGTCTGGACTGAGCTCTGACCCTGCTCCTCCTGGGTCCCTGCCCTAGACCTGGAGGCTCTGCACCAAGCATTTTCCTTCCCCTACCCCACCCTGAGGGCCACTACTGGCTTCTCCAGCCCTGCTGGCCACCCTGCACTGAACACAACACAGGACTCCACTGGATTTTGGGGTGGTAACCTGGTCAACAGGCTGGGTGGGCATGGCCTGAGGCACAATGGGCCACCTGAAGCTCAGGGTTTGGGGGAGACACTGGGAGAGAAAACACAAAACAGAAGCCCACGTGTGCTGGCACCAGGGCCCAGAGGGGGCCTAGGCCTAGTGACAAGCAGCTCGGGGAACCCACATTCTTCTTGGTTGGGCAAGGAGGCCAGGCGCAGAGGAAGGGCACAGGCGGCCTGGGCAGGGGGCCGAGATCCACAAGGCAGGGCCCGGGCCAGGCTGCAGTGGGGCTGGAGCTGGGAGCTGACTGCAGTGTGGGGGACAAGGGCACTGTGCAGCCACAGTTGGCCAGGAGGTCCAAGCTGGGCCAGGAGCAGGGAGGACTGAGGCAATAGCCAAGACGATGGGACACGGTGGAGGAAGCTTGCCACACACAGGTGGGCAGAAGGTCTGGCCACGCGTGCAGAATGTGGCAGGCCGGAGACCAGGCAACTGCTGTGGAAATCCTCAGAAAGCCCCAAGGAGAAATTCCATTCCACCCAGTAATTCCATTACTTCCCTCCTGGACATCATCCTTAAAACGCGAAAGACATCTGGTGACTGTCATCCATGTCTGCCCATGTGTACTGCAGCTCAATTCATGACAGCTAACTCTTAGAAAGAGCCCCTGAGGCCATCGGCAGATGAATGACAAAGTGCATTTCCGCAGTGGGACAGTGGGGCACTCCTGTGATGCAGGAAGGACAAGGCGCATCATCTGCAGGAAAGTGGATGCTCTTGCCCGCAAGCTTAAGTGAAGTAATCCAGACACACAAGCTTGCATTTCCCTGGCTGCCTTTTGTATGAGATACCCAATACACAAATAAATTAAAGAACAAAATAAAAACATAGTAGGAAGCAGGGAAATAGATCTTTGGCAAAAGGGACAGGGATGGAAAGGTGGAGGGAGGAGAAGAGGAGGGAAGGAGGAGTGGAAAAGGATTTGAAAGGTGCCACCCCTGTGCCCAAGCCCCTCAGGAGTGTGCTTGTGAAACCAAAACTGAAAGATGAGAGCAAAGCAGAGCTTGCAAGCTGAGCGGTGCCGAGTGTGGTCGGCTGGGGTCCTGGGCAGCAGCGCCTGAGGCTGCCCACTAGTGAGGACCACAGTCCTGCTGCTGTGGGCCCAAGAGCTGGCTGGGGAGCTGCAAGTGTGTGTGTGTGTGTGTGTGTGTGTGTGTGTGTGTGTGTGTGTGTTGGGGGGCAGACAGGAAGGGGACACGGGAACCTCGTCTCTCCCCTGGGTGAGTGAGGGGCGCCATGAGGCTGTGACCCAGGATGAAGACAGCACAAGAGGAACGGAGGGCCGAGGGCCACAGCTGACAGGAATCACGACTTCTCCTCCACCTCCCGTGGGGCGTTTTACCAACCCGCTTCCAGAGGCCCCGACTGACTCTGGTTTAAGGTGGGTGTGGTGGCACACACGGGTCATCCCAGCACTTGGGAGGCTGCAGCAGAGGATTGATGTGAGTTCCAGGCCAGCCTGGACTGCAGAGTGAGACCCTATTTCAAAAAACGAAAACCAGGCAAACAGCAAGGAGAAGAAGCAGATGCCCCAACCCGCTCAGGTCTGCTCCCAGAGTCACTCGGTGTAACAACGATGGTGACACACTTCCCAGGGCCGGAAGTGTGGCCTGAGGGGCTGGAAAGTCTCACTGTGCCAGGGTGAAACCACCAGTATTTCAGGACAGGGTCATGCTAAGCTATGGGGTTGTGATCCTCCTGCCTCAGCCTCCCAGGATTGCAAAGACTGAGCCACCATACCTGGCTGAGGATGCTCTTGGTTTTGGAGAGCTCACCGTGAAGCAGTGTACTTGGCACCTGCAGCCTCGCGCGTGGCATGTGTGTCCCTCAAAGGCGCCCCAAGACCACGTGGAGTGATGGGCCTGCGCCATGCAGGTTTGCCCTCAGGACTACTCCGAGAGCCTTAGGACCACAGGTCACACTCGCCTGATGATGTTCTTATCCCCTGCGCTAAGTGACGCTGGCGGGAAAGGCAAAGGTCAGACACTCGGAGTTTTTCCTCATTTTCCGCCTGTCTCAAGCCGCAGTTGGCCAAGTGTGGTCTCAGGACGCCCCCTGGTGGCCGCTTTGAAGAATGGCTCTCACAGTGGCCCAGGGACGCTCAGAGTGCTGGTGTCTCCTGGGAGTGAGGAAGGACCAGGTCCCCTGGACATAGGGGGAAAAATTGGGAAAGTGGTGGGATGAAAATGTGGCGCGCTCCAGATGGTCCTAGGTGTGTTGTATGTCCTGCACAACACTGGCCTGCCCATGCTTCCTGTGATTTCTCAAAGTGCTACCAGTCAGCAACACGGTTCAGGCCAGGTCCGTGAGAACAGCAGCCTGGGCTCCACTCCTGTGAGTCTGTGTCTACCAGACATGCCAGGCTGTGTGCACAAGGTGTGTGTGTGGGGGGTCCAGGCCCAGAAGAGAATGCTCTGTGCTCCCCTCTTAGAATTCTATCAAGAGTTGCTCAGGGTTGGGGAGATAGCTCGGCAGTCTAAGTGCCTGCCTGGCAAACGCAAGGACCCGGGTTCGATTCCCAGTACTGCATGACATGCTGGACCCAGAATACTGGGTGTACCATGTGGATCTTGAAACCAGGCATGGTGGCACATGCCTGTAATCCCAGCACTGGGGAGGCGGAGACAGAAGGATCACTAGGATTCCTACTGAACTGCGTAGTGAGACCCTGAATCAAAAGAATTTTTTAAAGAAAATTTGTTCAGCTGAGTATGGGGGCACTGGCCTGTCATTCTAAGACTCGAGAGGCTGAGGCAGAAGGATTGCTGTGAATTCAAGGCCAGACTGGGCTACAAAGTGAGACCCTGTCTCAAAACACCAACAGAAATATTATGATAAGACATATTGTGCCATCAGTTGCCCTCACAATACCCGCAAGGGGGCCTAGGACCTGGGTCCTCCACTGTCCTTGACCTTAAGGGACTCTCTCTTATCAATACTTGTAGGGCATTGATCCTACAAGCTCCCCCACCCCCTCCCCCAGCATGCTGTGGCTCAACACCATGGTGTGATGTGGTGTGAGGGCTGGTAGACCAGGATGCTTAGCGGTCACTTTGCTGACCCTTCCTTTTCACCTAGAGCTAAGTGATGGAAATTCCCTCACGAGGCTACTGATGCGCGTGCTGTCTTGTGCCTCAGACAGCTGAGTGGAGTCCTGGGACTTTTACCTAAGTTCAACCAGGAGAGCTTAAGGCAAGCGGGAGAGAGGAGGGAGAGGGAGAGGGAGTGCGACTGGTGTGTTGTAGGTGTTTTCAGACTAGCAAGAGCGGAAGCAGAAAGCCTTAAAGGACAAAGACAGAAGTGAAAACAAGGAGGAAGAGAGACGCTGAGCCCCTGCCCAGAGAGGAGTGGAGCCAGCTGTCCAGTTGTGTGTGCCTGGGACCCGTGACAGCCCATAGACCAGTGGCCATGGGTGGGGTGCTTGTGACGGAGTCCACCCTGACCTGGTCAGCAGTGCAGGTACAAAGGCTGCTTTGGGGCCCCCTTGGAGGCGTGGCTTTTGGGAGATGACAGCTTTCCCGTCCCACGAGTGTCCCACCATGTAGGTGGGGAGGGTAAGGGACATCGAGAAGCAGGTTGTTCCCAGGGAACCTATCTGTGCCTGGGCAAGGACACTGTGCTGGGATCATGTGCAGGTGGGGCTGGGCCCGGCAGAAGCCTGCATGCTGGCTGTCCGGTGTGCCTGCCTGGCTGCAGGTCCCTTGCTGTGACTGATGGTGCAAGCAGGGCTCCTGTCCCCCACTAGGGGACGCTGTCCTGGCTGCCACATAGCCTGTGGTCCTCTGCCTGCCTGTGTCTCAGCTTGAGAAATGTCAGCCTCGGAGATATGCACAGAGAGGCGAGACCTCCTGTACCTCGAGATGGGCTGGTGCAGACCTGTGCTGTAGCCCTGAGCAGACCTTCCCGATAGAGACATGAACAGCTACTGTCTTTTTTTAAATTTTATTCATTCAGGGGCTGGAGAGATGGCTCAGTGGTCTAAAGCACCTACTTGGAACAAG